ATATTTTAATTTTGTTTATTTATTTTTATGTGATGCTGAGAATCGAACCCAGAGGCTCAAACATGCAAGGTGAGCACTCTACCACTGAGCCACAACCCCGGCCCTTAACTTCTGATTATAATAATCAACATCAGTACAGAGTCACCAATTGCCCAAGGCAAAACCCCAACAGTTGCCTTTCATTCATCTTTTTTTTTTTTTTGCATTCATCTTTATTTCTTAATTCTACATTCAACCAGTCACTAAGCACTGCCAAGTCTACATCCTAAGCATTCCTTGAATGTGATCCATTTTCTCTATTCCTCTGCCACTTCCTTAGTTCAGGACAGCACCCCCATCATCTCTTGCCTTAATTCCTATAGTAGTGTCACTTCTCTCACTTTTTCTCTTTCCCCACTTTTGTGAATTCTTCCCAAAGTGGCCTGAGTGATCTTTCAGATATGCAAATCTGATATTTCATATCCTATCCCACACTTGATCTTCATAAATAGCTTCACTACACTTGAGACCAGAGGCATTCAAAGTGTGGCCCTAGAAACAGCAGCACTGGCATCTCTGACAAGTCATTAGAGTTGAAACAGAAACTTGGGGGTGCCCACTCCCAACCTGTGTTCAGCAAGCCTTCCAGGTGATTGTGATGAGCATATAATTTGAGAACTCACTCCCTAAAGCAATGGTTCTCAGTCCTGGATGGACACTAGAATAAACTGAAAGAGCTTTTAAAAATTCCAGTGCCTCCCCGACAGATTAATGGAATCAGAGTCCCTGGGGTGAGATCTAGTCATCAGTATTTTTGACCCCCCCCCAAGATATTCTAATGTAGACTGAGGATGAGAACTACTATGTTACAGGATGAAGCACAAGCTCCTTAGCTTGGTATTTAAGCTCTACTTCCTTGGTTACATCTTTCCATGTCCTTGCTTGTTCATTCTAAAATCCAATGAGGGAGACATTTGGAATTCCCTTAGAGTCACACACAGTCTTTTACCTCTGTGCATTTGCGCATATCACTCCCAATGACTTGGCTTCTCCTTCCTCCCTTCTTTCACCTAGCTCATATTTTCTCATTTACGGTACATAGCTCAGAAGACACTTTTATGAAAGATATTCCTTTGATCCTCCATTCTGGGTTAGATGTCTCTCCTCCATACTCCTACAGTGTCCATATCATAGCACTAGATGCTTAGTCTTGTTGTTCTCTGGTTAG